ACTGGGAAAGGAAACTGGAGCAAGAGCTGGTGAACATGGGAGCCACGAAGATTCCAGAATTCCCAAGTACATATGTGTTTCCTTCCTATGGCCATCTGGCTTTGGTGGTTTATGTGGATGACTTCGTTTTGAGCGGAGACAGTTCATACCACGATTCCTTTTGGGCAGACCTTTCTAAAAGAATCATGTTGGATGACATCGGAGACCTTGGTAGGTTTTTGGGAAGACATCATTCAACTAGAGTTCAGAAATCAAGAGCTATTCGCCTTTGATATGAGAGCCTATGCAGAGAGCATTGTCAATGACTATGTTCGACTGATAGGTCGCGCAAGACTCAAGAGGGTCAGCACACCCTTTCTTTCAAAGACCACTGTCATTGAGGACTCTCCGGCTAAGGGCGAACTGGCAAGTTCAGCGAGCTCCGTGCTCATGAAGCTGATGTGGCTGGCGCGATTATCGCGGCCTGATATGCTGAGAGTAACCACATGGTTAGCTACTAAGGTGCAACAGTGGACCACGGAGTGTGACAACCATCTTTTCAGGGCGATTAGTTATTTGAATGAAACAAAGGACCATTTACTCACTGGCCATGTAGGTGATGATTTGCATGACATTTATGTTGAACTGTTTTGCGACGCGGATTTTTGTGGTGATGACGAACACACATATTCCACAACTGGTGGGTGGGTACAACTGAGTGGAAAGCATACCAGTTTTCCATTGACCTGGATGTCCAAAAAGCAGGGTGCGGTCTCTAGATCAACAACTGAAGCTGAGGCGGCAGCCATGGCTACTACTCTATTTGATGAGGGCTTGCCGTTGCTTGAGCTGTTTTCAGTACTATTCAGAAAGTCAGTCCGCTTGTCAATCCGAGAGGATAACGAAGCCACAGCCAAAGTGGTTTCTGCTGGCTATTCCAAGCGTTTGCGGCATATGAAGAGAACCCATCGTATAAACTTAGGCAGCCTCAAAGAGGAACTGGACAAGGACGATGTGGATCTGCAATTAGTTACCAGCCGCTACCAGAAAGCTGATATCTTCACTAAGGGATTAGCAGGTGAACTTTGGGGACCCGCGTTGGACCTTCTGGGAATAGTCAATGGGTATGTGGTCACTCGTACCACGAACACTGGTCTGAAGATGCAAGAGAACTTTGATGAATCTCTGCGGCCTTCGTATGCTGAGGCCAAGCCAGTATCTGTACCTACTCAGGACAATCCGAAACCTAAGGCCAATGTGAAGAAGAGGTATAAGAAGAAAGCACCACGCATTCTTCCATACCACAAGGCTCCAGAGGACTAGGTCGGTGCCGAAGGATGCACTAGCCGGAGTCACTCGAGAGGGGGGAGTAGAAATTACTCGAATAACCCCTATGCCGTGTATGCATGTATATTGGAGTTGTTGCCACTGACTGTAAAGTGTACATAATGTCAGGGCTTTTACAACGGGAATAGACTATTCAAATAGTTATCAACAATGATAACTCATTTCCTTAATCCTGTAATCCGGGGTTTTGGTCATCAAACCATATACTTGGCCAACAACGTTTGGCTCAAGGTGCCCGCAAAAAAAGTGTTTGTGCTTCGTATCACTGGCCATTTTACATTTGTTGTTTACTGCATCTTGAACATACGCGAATATTACTTCTGGTACAATTCCCGCATTCACTGATGTTACTGGATTTTTTGTCCATGTCCCCTTAAAATATTTTTTTGCTGTGGGAAACTGTTGCAACGAGGATTACAACACTGTTATACCCTGTTATGACGATTATGAAAGCTTGCTACCCATGCACGACAGTTCATGGCAGTTCCACAGCTATGTCATTACCGCCCTGATTTGCGCCAGGTTGCCGGTCATGGTGATCTCTAGCGACGCATCAGTCAGTGCAATGCCTCTCGTTTTCAGTTGCAACCAGGTGACGCAGGCGAAACGTGATGTGCAGAACGCACCTGAGGAAACAGTTGAATCCGAACAACTAGTGTAACGCTAACATCTTGTATGGATAAGGATGGATAAGCACCTACCAGGTGGGACCTACCAGTTCAAGATTCTGAAGCAGTCATTTGGATCCATACGACGCACACACGCAGCTATATATATATATGCGCACACACACACATATATATATATATACATATATAGTCATCCTAAAGTAGATAAAATCTCTGGAATTTCAAACAAACCCCTAGATTCTATAGATAGAATCCCCAAATGGCTCAAAAATCCGGGTCGATGATTGAAAAAAAACAGACCCTCTAGAATCTAGAATGATCGCATGTGATTTGCAGTCATTTAGCTTGTGATTTGGTTCCGGATCGCATGTTTGGGCTTTTGGAATGTCCACAAAAAGTTGCGATTATGCTGGTGTATTTGGTTCTGGCATGCCAAATTCACCCCAAAATCTTCCAAGGAAAAGGGGCCATTTAGCTTGTGATTTGGTTCTGGATTGCATGCTTGGGCCTTTGGAATGCCCACAAAAAGTTGTTATTATGCTGGTGCATCTGGTTCTGGCATGCCCAGTTCCCCCAATTTTTTTCGAAGTAAAAGTAACCCACAATGACTTGGAGGTTTTGAAAAGGAAACTTTGAAAGGAAAATGGGATGAGAAAAAGCAGGAATCCAAAATCTCTGCGAAAACTCCTGCAGTAAAACCATGCATATTACAGATATGATCATTGCTACCTTGCAGCGTTGGTTCAAAACTGGGCTGACCGCTTAACGGTTGTGTTTGTTGCATCTTACCCCATTGGTGGCTGACCTGGTAAAATACAGGTTCGGCAAACTTAGCGGCAGAACCTGTGGTTAACTCTGTTGGAACCAAAAGCCATGGCATTTGTGCCGGCAAGTCGTATGGCAGAGCATCCGAAGCAGTGATGGACAAGCAAAATTAGGGGCGAATGTGCCGGCAAGACTCCCGGCAAAGCGCGCGAACTAGCTCTGGCCAAGCCAAATATACGGGCATTTTCAATGGCAAATGTGCTCAATGCAAAAGTCAATGAAAGTTGGTGCATGTTGGCACGTTTCAATGTGGAAAAGCTGAACAATGAAAATCAATGTTGCATCCCCCTCTGCATGGGTCCCAGCAAAAAAGATTTACGACCCCACCAGGGAAGCAATCTTCTTGGTGATTTTTTCCAAAAGCTGACTTGGACAATGCCCGGGCAATTGCAAAAAACGCTTCTCTGATTGCCGCAACCTTGGCAGACGCCTGGCAAGAACTTCAAGAACTTGGCACAATCCCAGCAATAAATTGAAGGGTGAGTCGGGAGCAGGAACCTTGTTGGCAGAAACCCGGCAAAACTTGGCACAACCCCGCGGAACTGACCTGGCGAAAGCCTGGAACCCAGCGGAACCCGGCGGAGCGGCGGAACCCAGCGGAACCCCGGGGAACCCGGCAGAGGAACCCGGCGGAACCCGGCAGAGGAACCCGGCGGAACCCGGAAGAGGAACCCGGCGGAACCCGGCGGAAAAAAAGTAAGTTGAAGGGGTGGTGGTTGGGAGTATAACTTTTAGCATGGTTTCTACTCCCAACCCCCCCCCTCTTCAACTTATTTTTTCCGCCGGGTTCTGCCAGGTTTCCGCCAGGTTTCCGCCAGGTTTCCGCCGGGTTCCGCCGGGTTTCCGCCAGCCTCGGGCTTCTGCAACGTTAGCGCGAAGCCGTCAGGTTTGCGTGAAGTTTTCCCAGGTTTCTGCCAAGCCCCCACCGTCTCCAGGGCAAGACCCGACACAACTAGTAACTAGTCATAATTTACCGTTTTTAGCTGAATTGTCAGCTCAGCACTGCTTGCCTGAGGGGCGGCGGCTGCTTGAGCAGCTTTGCTGTGAAATCAAGGTCCACGCAACCAACTTGTCCAGTCCAATGCGGGGCGCTGGGCGCTGGAGACCTTTAACCGTCAGCCTGGCAGGCGCTAAAAGCGATAATGAAAACCCGGTATGCACCTGGTGTCTGGCAGTGAACTATTGAAGTAACGCCAAGCGCATCCCAACTTGGAAGCAAATAATGATCCATAATTTATGTTGGTGCCAGGTTGTGCTTGTCGAGGCAACATTTCTACTCGGTTTGTTGTTTTTTTGCCTCGCATTTTTGCTAGCTTGACCGGCACGTTGCCGCCTAGTTTGCCGGGGGTTCGGCCGGCTGCTTGGCCAGGGCCGAAACCACGATTTTCATCTTGTTTCTGGGGAGTGCTTTTACACCCAAGCTTACTCCAATATATATATATATAATATTTAGATCTGTTTAATGTTTTCCATATGTTTTGCCATTTGCCTTCTGTAGCGCTCGCGTTTTTGACTGCTTTTTACATGCAGAAGTTGCGGAGATGTTTGAGAGCTGTGTCACCACATGTTGCCAGTGGTTGCTAAGATGTTTGAGCAGCTTGGTCAGAAATCTATGCAAACCACCCCAAAGGGCGGCAGGTTTTCTTAAGATGTATTCAGGGTTTATCAATATCCATCAACTCCTCTGAAAGGCTTTATATATACATATATATATATATACAGTAATGTATGTATATATATATATATATCTATACAGTAACATAACATATATATATATATAGCCTTCAGTGTTGTGGGAGGGTTACCATTGGGGGGCACCCTTAAACTTCCTCAAGTCAGCGCAATGTTTGCAAGCTAGGCAGCTCCCAGGTAGGTTAGGTTCCAAACGAGGGGGTTGTGAGTGGCTTCGCATTGAAACAGCCCAGATGATTCGGAGGATGAAGGGCAAAGCTCACTGTCCATGTCGGATGGCGAAGATGAGCCGCAACCTCAGATGCAGCACGACAATCGACTTCATGACTCATCTGCTGGGATCATCATCCTGAAGTCATGATACCACTCCAGATCCTGGAGAGGCTGCTAGTTCATGCATGATAAGTCATTGAAATATGCATACAAGTGCTACATTGAACTACGCCTGCTTGATTTTGCCCTGACAGACTTACACCGAGGGCAACTGCAAGCGTAGTGCCGCTGATTGCCGTTTTGTTCAAGTTCAAGCTTAGTCTAGTTGGCCAGGAGACGCCCGTAGCTCTGGGCCGGCCCCGAGTTGGGCAGGCCAAAAGTCTCGGAATGATAGATCCGATGGCACAGATGGGCATGGGCAACATGCAAAAAGGCGGTATGTTCTACCAGGGGGGCATGTACCCGACCTACCAAACCAACACTTGGGGCTTCAAAGGAGCCAAAGGAGGCAAAGGAAAGGGCCGAGGAAAAGGGAAAGGGAAAAGCCATTTTTCCGATGATGATCCTCGGAGACAGATCATGATGGCGCAGCGCCAAGCACAACAACGTGACAGAGCAGCCATCATTTCTGCGCAAAAATCTGCGCAGCAACGATTTGAAAAAGACCTTCTAGATCGTGTTCAAGGCAAGTGGAAAGATGAGGAAGATGCCAGTATCAGCTACCACGTCGAAGGTAGTGTTTGTTCAGTGTCAGGGCAGAGCAGCCGCACATTTCGAAATCGCCTGAGCGTCTACGGTGGAGAGCTCTGCTGGGATGCCAAGCGGTTTTGGCATTACCTCAACTTCAATGCCTTGCCTCCTATTGGCGAAGAAGTGGAGCGTGTTGAGTGGAACCCTGGACAGGGCTCTCCTCCCACCAAGCAGATCATTTGGATCCGCTCCAATGAGGAGGATGTCGCGGATGAGGCCGCTGAGGGAGATGGCGTTTCGCCAGTTGAGGCGACCCAGGCTGTGGCTGAGGAGCCCGAAGCCTGAATCTCAAATCCCAAATGCCATCCAAGGCCATCCAAGGCCATCCAGGGCCCTGGCCTTGCCAACTTTTTGGCAAATCTTTCGTCTTATGTTCAACAGATTAGTCAAGTAGCTTTGGAGCTTGCCATTTTCATCAAAGTTATGGCGTCAGCAGATCTACTGAGCGAGGCAAATATTGGTAAATAGGAGTAATTATGGATATTGCAGTGGAGAGGTTGAAAAACAGCGATTTGCAGCACTTGCGTTGCATCCTTTTTGCTCGCTGTGTCTTGTGGAACTTGATGTCAGATCTGTGGTCAAACCTGTGGCCACATTGAAACGTCAGGCGGTCACCTGAGAGGAGCACAGCGCACCCCTGCCTATATGTTGGCCTTTTGTTGTGATGAGCAGGCTTCCTCCACGGGAAGCCTGCGGGCAAAGCAGTATTGAGCCCATTGTCTGTATTTTTCTGTGTGTTTGCAACATTCCTTTGTCACTGCATGGTGATATGGACTGTATTCCATGTGAGCCTCTGTCTGTGACGACATGCCAGGTCTTTCAAAAGAGGAACCTCCGAGAAATAATTTCAAATCAAAAGGAGGGCGACACCAGGACCAGGCAATATGTTTTACTCAGCCATACTGTGTGGCATCTCAACAAACCGAGGCATCAATGTGATATCTGTGATCTATGCTAGAGGATGAATTCAAATGCACACGCACGCAGAGATGCATGGATATTTCCTTGCTTTTCTGATTTGTTCTGATTTGTTCTGATTTGTTCTGATTTGTTCTGATTTGTGTTCGGTGACAACCTGCAAAAGTCTCTGAATCTAGCTACCTAGGGGAATAAATGGAGGCTGGCACAAGAATCCATGATCACTGTGCACGGATACCCGCCATGTGACATTTACAAAATACTCATGTATATAATGGCGTTTAAGGTGTCGTCAACTGAGGAAATTGCCATGATGTCCATGATATGTATGCCCGCGCAATTTCCTGTAAACAGAAGTACAGAAGTGCTTAATGCTCGCAATACGATCAATACGTGTTGGTGTTATCCGTTGAATCGATCAGTCATAGATTGCTTTGCCCCATGGTGCGCTGCTTTGTGTTTCTAGCAGTCTCTTGCGTCGCCAAAAACCAAAAAAAAAGACAAATGACAATCTTAGTCGAATATGCATCTCGGCCCACTGCCCCTGACCCGGCTAATAGCCGCCTGTTAATGACCTTCCTTCTCTACCTTCTCTACTAACCCATTTGCCACCACACCACACCGGGTGGAGGGTAAAATCATGGAGCGTTTTCAGGCGTCATGCATGGTATGACACATCATGATAGCGTATAAAGAGATATAAAGAGTAAATCTATATAAGTATTTTATATTATATGATGGCATGGGATATGATGCATGCATGTAGCTGAGTGAGCTGAAGCTTTCACTGTTGCGATGGGAGCTCCGTGCAGAACCACAAGCGCTGAAAAAGACTGTCACCGTCGATGTAGCCAACAAGAAGGTTGCAACAGGCGATGCTTGGCGAAAGATGGGAAAGTGCGAGCCAGATGTTCTGGAGAACTGGAGAAAGCGCAGGGGCAATGCGGGCCACAATCATGCAAACAGTTGTGGGTCTAAGGATCGAAGCAACAACGCTGTATTCATATGTTGTCTCCTATTCCACTGAACTTCTTGGGCTTTGATGGGCTTTGTAGATTTCTGACTTCTTGACTTGGATAAGACATGACATCAATTGACAGCCTAAGACATCAATTGACTTGACATTCTGTGCCCAGGTCAGGCGGATTCGCAAATCCAACATGCATGATCACTTTATAATTATAACATTCCATATGCTTTCAAACAGAGCTGACGCCCTTTTCCGCCTCAGAATGCTGCACCTCAACAGTTTTCAACGCAGCCGGTGATGCTAAGGAACCAGGCATTTCCAAGCTGCCACCCAAGACTAGATGTGCTTTTGCAGGGTGCGTTGATGACATATCAGTCTTTCCATTTTCAGCGGTTGATTTCCAATCTTGCAATGGTGGCTGTAGTGCTGGTGTCTGTCGGATTGTGGTCATTTTGTGCGTTGGTGTTATTGTGGTGTTGTTGCTGTGTTTTCTCTTTACTAATATTCCTTTATTCAGGATGTCGAAGACCAGCCCTAGATCAGTAGGGTTTTAGATCAGTAGGGCTTTTAGCATTCCCAAAAAATCAGAAAGAATATATATGTTTCCCGAAAAAAAAAGAAGTTTTTGGAAACATTTGAGAAATTTTGGGGTAGGTAAACTCTCTTGAAGGAACCACTTGCCACTTGCCGAATCTTTGTTTTTTTGGTTTTGTTTTTGTTCTAGATTAATCATGACTAATCTGGATTAATCCTGATTAATCCAGTTCACAACGTCATACATCATGACTCCGGCTAGTTCGGGCCTATGCTCAGAGACTTGTGCATGGGTTGAGGGCAATTTTGTCTGAACTAACAGTTTTTCGCTCCCAACGACCTCAGGAAAACAACCAGTGGGTCCTCCACGGCAACCGTGGGAATATTTTTGAAACCGGCCGGAATTGGGCCAAATACCTTGGTTTCCATGTAGAAGCCGATGGATACCAAAAGCAATGGGAAGTTAATGCTGAGCGGGTGGAGGTAGCTGGGGGCTCTCTTATACAACTTTTCCTCGAACATCCGATGATGACCAATGAGATGAGAACCACGCTGTACTCTACAAAAGTTCGGTCTCTTGCTTTGCTTGGTGCTGACATTTGGGGATGGCGTCGGGCATACAGACTTGACAAAAGTGACGCCAAGTCATTGCGTATTCTCACTAGGGCACACACCCGAACAAAGCTTGAGGCCATGTTATGGCTTGTGGGGCTGTATCCCATTTCGGTCCTTGCAGCAGTTCAAGCCTTCAAGTTTTTGATCTCTATTCTGGAACATGGAGATGTTATGGAAAAAGCAGCTTGGGAACAGTGGAAGCAATGTTGCAGATTGCATGACAACGGATGGGCTTTTGATATGGTTTCCTTTTTCAAACGAATTGACTTGTTAGATCAGATGGGAGGACGTGACCATGTATTGAATTGGACCGCGCCTCAAGCAAGGCATTGGTTTCCAATTTTTCGTGAACGCTGTAACAATATTGCTGAGCAAGATATGTTGAGGACACTTCGTTCCGGCAAATACAGTTTTCTTGTACACGCGATTCCTACTTTTGAATCCCCTCGACCTACTGCGCTATCATTGGGTTTGCTTTGCGGCCGCTCGCTGAACAATTTCTTGTTGTCCTCTCACTTGGTGGAAGTAGAGACTGGCAGGTATATCCGGCAACAACGAGAACAACGGTTTTGTCAAGCATGCAAACGGTCTTTGGGGCTTAGGGTCCTTGGGGATGAACAACATGCTCTGTCTTCCTGTGTAAGAGATGCAGAACAGAGACAACTTTCTTTTGCAAAAATCCTATCTCTTTTCCCTGGTGATTCACTACGTCATATTCAGCACAACTCTCTTTCAATATGTTGAATCCTCTGAACAACTTGTCAACAAATCAGCAAAATCTGGCATGGAAACTAGTTGCGAAGTACACCTTGGCAGTGCAACAAAGCATCCGCAGTGAGTTGGGCACGCAAGACCGCATACCGAACATATGGAAGGAATGTATGAAAAACATATTGCTGAAGTCAGTGACCAAAGCTGCTGAGAAGTATTTCCGTAAGCGTTTGAGGAGACAGCAGAGAAATATGCCAGCACTTCCTGCTATTGTTATTTCCGACGATTCCGATGATGATGTGGAGATTTTGAACTGAAGATCTTGATGTTTGCCATCCTTGTCCCGTTGCCCTTTTGATTCTGGCTTTCTGCTTATTTTCACACACCTTTTTCACCAAACTAGCTCTGTAAATTACGAAGAACTTTGCGCCGAGGTGCCATTACGGGCACGCAGGGCGCAAGACATGAAATGAAATGAAATGAAATGAAATGAAATGAAATGTCTGTCATCTATTTTCATCTAGTGTTCTGAAGAATTTGGCGCGTTTCAAAAACAATGCCGAAAAAATGAAACAAAATAAAGCACATGGGTTCGGCATTTGTTGTTTGTTTTCTGTCGCTGTGAGACCCCATGTTTTGGCTATGTTTTTGTATGTTGTGTGTGTGTGTTTGTGTGTTTGTTTGTGTGCGTGTTGTGAAACGCTGAGAACATGCACGGTAGTTTGCATGTCGTTTTTATGTTATGTTTTTTTGGGGTGTGACGTTGTTTTTTTGAAGGCTGAGCAAACAATAAATTGAATATAAGTCAAACTGAGTCAATACAACAAGAGGTTGAAATTTTACTTTTGTCCCTCTTTTAATACTTTGCGTGGTTTAGGGCATGTGTTGGCTAACCTGGTCAAAAGGTATCTTACACACATAGAACCCAAAAGTTGGTCCGGTTGATTTTTTTCAACTTGTTCAGCAGTTTGTGCAATCCCTGGCCACACTATGTATGGATGATAATGGATGATACAGTTGGGAAAATACAAGAAAGCAATTGGCCACTCAAACCCACATTACACCTCAGAAAACATCAATCTGATGGGGAGAGATCCATTCTAAGGTAAAACTGTAAAACCATTATATAATTTATTTGACAATCATTCGACGTCAACTTTAAACCAGCAGGTTGCCCTGAGTCTCGAAATCTAGTGTTTTTAGTAGCCCGTCAATTTACTTAAATTTTCAAATTTACTAGTAAAATTTACTAGGACCTAGTAAAGTAAATTTTGCAATTTACTAGCCTAGTAAAATTTACTAGGACCTAGTAAAGTAAATTTTGCAATTTACTAGCCTAGTAAAATTTACTAGCCAAGTAAATAAATTTACTAGCCAAGTAAATTTTTGGCTTGCTTGTTTTTTCAAGGAACGTGTTAAAATTTTGATAGCTAGGAACTAAAATTTTACTTGTGAGACTTTACGACAATTGTGAATTTTCAAAAACTAATTGTGACACGTCAGGATACCAGTGATGTTTTTCAGGTACTTGCGAGACTTATAGTATACTTGTGGGAATCAAGAAGATATTTTTAAAACTTTGAGTTTTAGCTTGAAATCTAAAGATTGTGGGATTCGGTTGTCATTTCAAAACAAATTGTAAGAATCGAAGCTAATGCAAAGGTAAGTATTAAATTCTAAAACGCATTATTTAGATTCCAATACTATTCGAGACTGTAGGATACTTGCGTGCCGAAATCGAATTCAGTCACTTTTGTTTCCA